ATGCTCAAAAGCATTAGCATGCAGGATGCCAATGTGCAGTTCTTACGCACGCCCAGCGGCCCCACACGCCCGCGTTTCGTGCACGTGCCTTATTTGGCGTTCCAGAGTTTTGATATTACCAAGAGGAACAAACTGGGATTCAGGATGTCGAACAGGGGGGGGGGTCTGATTCGGGAGGGGGTCTGATCTGAGCTGTCTCGGAGGGTTCCCTGGGGTCTGGGCAAGAGGCTGCCCTCTCATGGCTGGTCTGGGGGGTTCTGAAATGACTCGTCTGGGAGGTCTACGAACTCCACCCCTTTTGTTCCGAAATCCTGAGTAGGGGTCGCATGTGGTTGCCTGCCAGGTCCCCAAGCGGCATCCCGATCGAGGCCGGGACGCCGCTGACGGCGCAGCTGCCCGCGCTCTTCGAGGCCCTGGGCCTCAATTACCACCACCTCGACGTCAACATCGGCAAGGCGACGGGGGCGTTCGGTAGCAAATCATGGGAGCATTGTACATCCTCGTAATTCTGTCTTGAGAGTGCGCTAGCGTCGTTAAGCGTCTTCTCATTGATGAGAGCGCGCCTGTTTAGCGTCGATTAGCCTCGATTAGCGTCAAGTCGTGTCGATTTAGCGTCGATGAGCGTCGATTTGCAAGAGCCAGCAAGGCGGTGTAGGAGGCTCCCCTGAGTTGCCACAGAAGGCGTTCGCAAAAAGGGGGGTCACGGCGCCAGCCTGCTCCAGTCGGGCCGGGCGCGCTGGTACCAGCGCTCCAGGGCGACAGCGAAGGGGAACAACGAAGGATGCGTGCTAGTACCGACGGGGGACAACGAAGGGAAACAACGAAGGGGAACATCGAAGGAACAGCGAGGGAACAACGAAGGGGAACGAATGCTGGTACCAGGGTTCCAACAAGCCCACCTCAGAACATGGGGAACAACGAAGGATGCGCGCTCCTCAGGTAATTAACTTTCGTAAGCTGCAAAGGTCGCGCGCCCGCGAGGCCACGCCCTCATAGATTAGTACGGGCGCGCGCAGCAAGCCTGCCAGCAACCAGGCAAGACCACCTGCCAACCATACATCGAAGACGCCTACGGCGAATCACCGCCGCAACCTGCCTTTTGGAACCGCCCATGTAGCCAAACGTTGGGCCGAAGCCAGGCCATTCTATTGGACTACTTGTTTCACCAGCCGTTGTGGACCCTCTTTTGGGAACATTTGGGAGAGGAAGAAAGGAGGAGGAGGAGAGGGAGGAGGAGGACAAGGACGAAGAGGAGGAGGAGGAGGAGGAGGAGGACGGATGATGATGATGATGATGACGATGATGATGATGATGATGCTGATGATGATGATGATGATGACGATGATGGTGATGATGATGCTACTGCTGATGTTGATGCTTATGATTTTTGTTATGATGATGATGATGATGATGATGATGATGATACTGATGATTCGGATGATGATGATGCTGCTGATGATGACGATGATGATGATGCTGCTGATGATGCTGATGATGCTGCTGATGATGATGCTGATGATGATGCTGCTGCTGATGATGCTGATGATGCTGATGATGCTCACTGCGCACGAGCCAGTTTGGGGGATAGGTTCCCAGGTCAGGTGTCACACATGTGGAGGAAGTTCGCCATGGAGAATGGCATCCAAGTTTTTAGACACCCCGTGCCACCAGGGCCTGTTCAGGGGTCTGATCATGGTGCCCACCAAGAGTACAGTCAACGGCATTGATTTGCATAGCTCCCATACCTTGGCTTATCACAAGAAGTTCGGGAGCACTGTCTGTCTTGCCTGTGGCTGTGTAGCCACCCAAGCGGTCAGGAATTTGAGCAAAGAATGCTCATCGATTTTGAATGTTTATGGCAAGCGGCAGTTGAGGAGAGTGCAGCAAGGCCTGCCGCTTGGATCCTCAAGGCTTGCCAAGCGTCAAGTGGCCCAGAAGAAGGTCCTGCGTTAAACATGTTCAACTCTGCCTGAGGCTGGAAAGAACAAACAATGATGCTGATGATGCTGATGATGACGACGATGATGATGAGGATGACAGTGATGATGCTGATGATGATGCTGCTGATGATGATGTTGATGATGATGATGATGAAAATGATGATGATGATTATGATGATGATGCTTCTGATGATGATGCTGCTGATGATGATGACGATGATGATGAAGATGATGATGCTGATGATGATGAGGATGAGGATGATGTTGATGACGATGCTGACAATGCTGCTGATGATGCTGATGATGATGATGATGCTGACGATGCTGCTGATGATGCGGATGATGCTGCTGATTATGAGGATGAGAATGAGTATGATGATGACGATGATGTTGATGATGATGATGCTGCTGCTGCTTATGATGATGATGCTGATGCTGATGCTGATGCTGCTGATGATGATGATGATGGTGGTGGTGGTGGTGGTCGTGGTGGTGGTGGTGGTGGTGATGATGATGATGATGGTGGTGGTTGGTGGTGGTGGTGGTGATGATGATGATGATGATGACGACGATGATGATGATGATGATGATTATGATGATGATGATGCTGATGATGATGATGATGATGCTGATGATGATGATGATGCTGATGCTGCTGCTGATGATGATGATGATGACGATGATGATGATGATCATGATGATGATGATGATGATGATGATGCTGATGCTGATGCTGATGCTGATGATGATTGATGATGGTGGTGGTGGTGGTGGTGGTGATGATGATGATGATGATGATGCTGATGATGATGATGATGATGATGATGATGATGATGATGATGATGATTATGATTTGATGATGATGATGATGATGATGATGATGATGATGATGAGGAGGAGAGGAGGAGGAGGAGGAGGAGGAGGAAGAGGAGGCCTCTCGAGGCCCTCTTGGGGCCTCCCCGGGGCTTCCTGTGAGCCCCTGGGGGCCCGTCTGATGGGGCCACTTCGGGGCCTCCTGTGTCCTCTTGGGAGGCTCTTGGGGGCTTCTAGGGGCCTCTCAGGGACCTCTTGGCCTTCGGAGGCCGTCTTGGGGCCATCTCTGGGCAGCAACGGGTTCTTTTTTGGGGGGTCTTTGGGGCCGTCTTGGCCGTCTTGGAGGCCATCTCAGAGGCCATCTTGGGGGCCATCTTGGCCGTCTTGGGGGCGATTTTCCAGTCTTTTTCCGCCCTAGAGCCCTTCCGGGTCCTTCCAGGTGGCTGGCGCGATCGGCGCCGACTCCACAGGGAAGCTTTCAAAAAAGGACCGACATCACTTGAACATCTGGCATGCCGTGCATCTCTGTAGCAAGCCACAGGGGGCGCCAGATCGCAAACGTCTACGGCGGATCACGGCCGCCCTCTGCCTTTTGGAAGCGCCGATGTGGCGCTATCGGATCATGTGCTCCCCCCGTCTCTGTGGAGACTCTTCGGGGAGCACGTGGGGAAGAAAGAAGAGGAGCAGACTGAGGGTGAAAGAGGGGGTCTGCAACAAGGGGTCTTCAATGGGGGCTGAATGGCCCATGTATGCTCAACGTATCGCTCATGTATGCGATCGAGTACGATTGGCATCCAATGTTGGCGGTCATCGAGGGCCAGTCGTTCGTGCCCGCGCGTTGCCCGCGCGGGCACACGCGCCGTCCATCCATTATCATTCATGCGTGCGGGCGTTCTTGCATATTGCGCGTGGGGCGGCGGAATGGAGTGCAAGTGTGTCTTGATTGTGCGATTGATGATCGCGTATGTTCCCACATGATGACTTATCGACCCCCAAGACAGATTTGAAATGGGTCCCGCGATTCTCCCAAAATGTGAATTCACATATTCCTTCTTTGCAACCTGTGAATTCAGATTTTCCTTTTTCCCAAAATTTGAATTCACATTCTGGCACCTTCGTAAAGATTCCTACACACAATTCCAAACAGTGAATTCACATTGTCCTGCTTCCCAAAATGTGAATTCACATTTTCCTTTTTTCCGAACATTTGAATTCACATTTTGCTTTCCGCCACAATGTGAATTCACATGTTGCCCTGGCCTTCAAGATCCCCAAAACTGAGGCGCAGTGTTCCGCATGTCTGGTTGACTGGGCAGATTTTGAAACTCACCTCACCGTTTTCGTTTATTTTAAACCTTTCGTTTTTGCGCCCTCAGCGCACGTTGCCTTCGTCGCCTTTCCCGAGCCCCCCGCCCCCTTGCTTCGTTTCCCTTCAAGTCTCGCGCATGGGCGCGGGCGGGGAGCTTCAACTGGTTCCCCCGCCGAACACAGCAGTCGAGGATGCATCGCCCATTCATGGCCCATAAAGACACCATTGCCGAGACCCTGCGCCCGACCCCCACTTTCACCCTCCAAAGCAGAAGTCTCTTCGGGCTTTCCTGGAGGCTCTCTCAGAGGCTTCTTGAAGACCTCTCGGGCCATCTTGGGGCTACCTTGGGGCCATATTGAGCCATCTTGGGTGCGTCTTGGCCGTCTTGCAGACATCTTGCGGCCATCTTGGGCTCTCTTGAGGCCATATTGAACGTCTTGGAGGCATCTTGGAGGCCATCTCCAGCCATCTTCGGCCGCTTGTGAGCGGGACGACCGACGACTTGGGAAATTTACGGGTCGTCATGGGGTGCTTTGGAGGCCATTTTGGGGCCGCCTGGAGCGGGGAGACCGATGCATTGGGAAGTTTACGGGTCCTCGTGGGCGGCGGGCGGAATCGGCCGAAGGCCCAGTGGGATTTCTGCACAAGGACCAAGAAATACGTAAACTTTGGTGCGCTGTGCGCAGGGGTCGGCGGAGCTATTGGCCTTCGACCCACCGCCACCGTGCCTGTCTCGGGGCCCTCCTGGCTCGTTTTGGGACGCTCTCGGCTTCGAGAAAGATATGCGGGAAGGCTTGGGAAGCGCGGGAGGTTCGCCAAGAACTTAATATTCAATCCTGAGGGCTGAGAGCTAAGATTGCGATCGAAGAAGAAGAAACGCCACAAACATACGTTTTAGGAGCTCCGCACGGATCTCTTGGATCGGCACCAGGGACCTCCTGGCGGCAACTGCGGCGCGCTTCGCGCGCCAGGGAGGGGTGTCAAGCGCCGATCCACAGTCTATCTTCATGCTGTTTCTTGCTCCTTTATGCAAGGGACCTGATGACACTGTACGCACGCAGGTTGGTCATGGTTTTGCAGGGCCAATGTATCGATCCAGGACTGTCCCCCTTGTGTTATCTCAAGATGTGCTTCCTGTCTTTGTGCCTTCAGACCCTTATTACGATTCCCAATCTTGGACGTGATCTCGCTCGGATGGTGACACCCTCTCCTCCCTGACAAGCCTGACCCAGACATCCGGCGTCTCGATTTTTTCGATACACTGGCTTCCGACCTCTCGACCACTTCCCTGGGACCAGTTTTTCACACTGAGTCGTTCTTCCACTGTCCCGAGACCCTGCGGGGGCCCTAGAGGCTGAAAGCGAGGAAAAGCCTCCCTTTTTTTTTCCGAGAC